TCACTTTGCGGAGGAGCAACATATGTGGCTGTGCTGTGGCTGTTGCTGCCGCAACAAACCCAAAACAACCGACTATCCCGACATCTGTATATTGTAACCACCGACACCATGTTGCTCGACGAGGACCCAGGAACTGTATGTGCTAATCTATTTGCTCTCATGATTTAGGCCTAAGAAATTTACTGACGCCTTCAGCTCATCCACCACACGATCGGCAACTTCAACATCCACCCCGATAAACAAGCCATCACACGCATCAATGACTCGCTCTCAACCCTCCAGCAATCGCGCGATCTGCGCATTCGCGAGGCCGAGTCGGCAATGCGAAAGCTTTCACGTCACTTGAATTCTCTATCTACACAGCACGAAGAAGCCGTGGCCGTACACGACTCGGGCAAACACGCGGCGGAGATTGTGGAGTTGGACACCAAGAAGTTTCGCATTGCCAAAGCTGCATCGGAGCTAGAAATTGAAAGCGAGCGCCTGGAGAGCGAGCTGGAGATGCTGAAGGAAAGACTGGTCGACCTAGAGTCCCAGGGTCTCGAGGGCGATGAAACAACGCGGCGCGAGCGTGAGGCTGATGATGCGACAATGTTCGTTCCTATGTCTCAGTCTTGGATTGATACTCTTGCTAATAGCTATTTAGTCTGCGTCTCAAGATATTCCGTTCGCTTGGTGTTGATATCGAGCCCGATGAGGCGGGCAATTTCAACAGAGCGGTCATTCGCAATAGCCGCAAGGGCGATGTTCATGTCGTTAATATCGACCCGAAGTTCTCCCGCTTCTTCTACGCAAACTACTTCTGGTCAACGATGCAAGGATGATCATGCCGATGGATGGTTTTGTGGGTGTCTGTGCTCTCTGGCGTTTGTTTTTTTGGAGGCTGGAAGCCGTTTCTTTCTACCGCCGTTGGTGTTTCTATACCCTTGGATTATTTTCTGTCATGAGTGATACAATTCTTCTTATATATTTCAGCTCTATGGCTGCCTGGCCATGGCATATTTTCAGGTAGTAGAGCATTCACTCCGATGCCGGCTGCTGTTGTAGGCGCTCTTGTAAAGCTTGAATGACCTTCTTCCGGTCTGCGTCCGATACTGTCATATTAAGCAGTTGAGAAGAGACATTATGCGGTAGAACTCTTTCTACAGCATCCAGAAGCTCCCCCTTCTGAATTTCCGACAAGTCCATACCCCAGGATGCGACCCATTGCTCGGCGAACTCGACGAGGTTTTGCTCCACGCGGTCCATATCGGGGATATCACATCCATCCCAGGTCAATATCATTTCCTTTGTAACCGAGCCAGACTCGGCGTCTTCTGTGATTCCATATCGTGTTTCCACGCCTAGAGGGCCAATTCCAAGTTCCTCTGCACGGGCATTCCAAAGTGCCTGCTTCAAGGTTCCGTCCCGTTCAATCGTCATCCAGAACAACGGATATTTGCTCCTAGCTAACGTATCACGAACACCTTTGGTTGCCTCGCGCGGGCTCACCAGCACGCCAACCGTCTCGTCCGTACGCCACCCGACAGGTGCTTGGCGGAAGGTTCCTTCTAGCTCGCGGACGACATTAGGACCCACTTTGGCCTTCAGTGATTTGCATTGTACCAGTACACGGAGTGCGCGCTCTCGTTCCCGCTCCGGGAGGTGCCAAGTCCCAACGAGGTCGATGCCGGCGTCGTCGCGCCCGCCGATGCGGTCGAGGCTTAGCGCATAACGGCGTAGGGTTTTGAGAACGGTGTATTCGTAGTGCGTGCCGACATGTACCGAACTCGCCACCGGAAGAGAAATATGCTCCGCGTAAGAGAGAAATGTCGTCAAATCATTGTGGTGTTGCGAGGGCGGAGATGGGGCCGAGGGGAGTTTAAAGAGCCGGCGGGTGAACGGTGTCAGCTCATGATAAATTCTGGAGCTGGAAAAGCAGCGACAGGCATCTTGTCTGACTCCCAAGGGAGAGTATCCGGCAGCAAGGCCATGGTGCAGTCGCAACAGGCGCATTGAGTGATGTGAGAAAGACAAGCCCGCCTCACCGCATTAGAGCTTCTCTCCGCATTTGCTCCGCTTCTTCCAGGCGTTCTGCCGATCTTTCTCAAGCTACTTCAAGCTACTTTAATTTTCTTTTCGAGTCGCTACTATGGCTGACGTTCTCACGCAGCTCCAGACTTGCCTGGATCAGGTAAAATCCACTGAGCAGAACGTACATTCAACCCCTTGCTCACCATACAAAATAGCTCGCAACACAATTCTACGCAACGCTTGGCTATCTCACAACATACCACGACAATGCCCCTACAACACCACCACCTAATGTCCCCGACGCAGCACCAGCCTTAGCAAAGATGGCCAAGAACTCGTCATCACCACCGGTCCCAGCGGCCGTCGCAAATAAAGTGGGGGGTGCAGCCGTCGTTGCAGGAAATGCATCACCCCCGCTTGCGCCTCCTCAACAACCCGGAGCTGCACCGGGGACTGCACCAGAAGGTGGAGATTCCAATCTTCCTCCCGCGCCGGATTCACCCAGCACATTTGCGAGCCGGCAGCGGGAACTTGCGCGTGATCTCATTATCAAGGAACAGCAGATCGAGTACCTTATCTCTGTGCTTCCTGGAATTGGCGCTTCTGAGGCTGAGCAGGAGAGCAGAATCCGGGAACTGGAGACAGAGCTTAGAGACGTTGAGAAAGAGCGCGCTGCGAAAGTGCGGGAGTTGAAAAAGTTGCGGACTCGGCTGGAGGATGTTCTCGGTGCTGTCGCTGTGGGTATCCATGGAGATGGGTACTCCCAGAATTGATCATGCGTGTTCTTAGGATATATGATTTATGTGCACTTTGGGAGTTATACGAGACAGATAGGGCTAGCGTGGGGTTTCATTTTCTTTGCTATATTCTAGGCGCTATGTGTGGGGGGATCTTTTACCGATTGCACAGACACATACCACGAATACCACATGATAGCACCATTTCAATTCTCGCTCGGAGGTAGCTAGCTTAATCACGAGTTGCAATGGAGGATCTAGCAGGGGCACACATGAGGCGGAAAAGAGAATTGGCTTCTAGACTATATAACATGTCCAGTGTGTTTCAATAAATACAGCATATATTGTCCGCTCTACTACCCGCCTTTGCTCTGTGATATGATTCTGCAAGGTTGACCTTGCTCATTTTGTTTACATTCATTTCTCGCGTGTATCATATTGGTGGACAACGTCTGCCCTAGGGGATATTTCCTTTCACTCTAACTTGGATTTTAGTCCAGGTCATCTTATTTTGAACGAGGACGACACATTAAAAGTAATAACAGTTATGTACCTACATATAGACAAGTCATTTTGTAGGGATTGTGCCTGGCAATCCACCGGGTAACAGCATCTGCTGCCACCCTCTTAGCCCGTATTAGAATAGACCCCCTGAATACTACGGAGTACTGTTGATCGCTTGATGCTGTATCACCTAAATTTTCTCAGTCCAAAACAGTACTTAAATATGCGCCGTGCCATGATCCTTCTTCATACCACACACCTTCCCAGTTTTCTCTTTCCTCTTTCCTCTTAAAAGAAAGAACTGCCAACACTGTCTCATTAAAATGCATTATCATTCTATGGCAGAGCGCTGGGCATTCGATGGCGACCCTGAATTCCTCTATATCGTTGTCATCTTCCAGGATGGCGACAACTACTTTTGAATCCATGTGCCCGACGTAGTCGGGCGCCCAGAGGATCTACTCTCCGTTATCGATCAATCCCGCCTTGAGAAGATTCCACAAGAGCATATATGGCCCCTGCTAGAAGATGGTCTCACACAATGCCTCGACTTTGACAAGCCGGACGTCTACATCAAGCAGCCCCGGCTCACTGGCTACGACGACTCAGCATCACTCGGCTTAGACCTACTCTAAGAAGCACGAATCTGTGAGGTTTTGATAAAAAATCCACATGAGAACGTCGCCCGCTATCTTGGCTGCGTGGTAAAGGCCGGCCGGATTACGGGGCTTTGCTTCCAGAATACGAGGAGACGCTTGATGACCGCCCTATGGACGGACGCTCGGTCAACCAGGAAATTTGTCTCCAACACATCAAGGCCAGCATCGATCATCTTCATGCCCTGGGTCTTGTCCATAACGATATTCACCTACGTAACGTTATGTTTAGGTACCGAGACCATGATAGGCTAGTGATTATCGACTTCGATTCGTGTGCCGTTCAGGGAAATTTACTCCCTGAAAAGCGAGGCGCATTGCCTGAAGGTGTCTGCACTGCGAGTTTGAGAATGATGATTTTGCTTTGAACAAACTCCGGGAAGATCTAGAAAGAGGTATGCATCTTTCTCGAGTACTTCTAGGTAAATTCAACGGAGAAGTCTTGCACGCGAGTTTCGAGAACAGCATGCCTGTCGATGTGTCCGCCGCGATTAAAAAAAAGGAGAGCGAACGTTCCTGTTTTACAGGTTTATGCCTGAATATGCCTTAATAGGATAAAAAGGTCTCGTTCGTAATATTGCACTATTCTGGTGTCTGGACGGGAAATTCTTCTATTCATATCTCGCCGTACGAAGAAGAGTATACGCGATCCCACTCTATTCAGGAATCATATTCGAGTCCTACACCCCTTTAGAAGTCAAATTAGAAGTATGCAGAATCTACCCCGTAGTGCACGTGAATATGCTTAAGCACAATAAATGCAGAAAAGAAAATGATTTCTATAGTTAAAACAACAAACCCGTGTATAAACGTGCTTGGATGTTGTAAAAAGAAAAACATAGAAAGAAAACGCCCGGTGTATGATCATAAGGAGAATCAAAGATGTAATAATAAATGCTAACGCCTTCTCCTTTTCCGGGTATCATAAAACGAAACCAGCGAGCCACTAGCATTAGGGCGGAAATAAAATTCAAAAAAAGATCACAAAAAGATCAAATGGAAGCAGAAAAAGAAACCGCAGGCGTAAATGGAGAACCGAAGAACGCGAGAAGAATGCGAGCTAAGGAAAGAAAACAAAAGACAAGAGAATTTACTTGAAAAGATTGCGGTATTCACGCATGCGAGCCTCTTGGGTCTCGCGCTTGTCCCGCTTGACGCGGTTCAAGCTCGTGTCAGCCATCTCTTGCTTCTTTTTAGCAAGCTCCATTATCTTCTCCTCAATGCTGCCCCTCATCACGAATTGGAAGGTTTGCACGGGGCGAGTTTGGCCAAGGCGATGAACACGGTCAATCGCTTGAGCAACGGCAGCCGGGTTGTACTGCGGCTCCATGATGAAGACGCGCGAGGCAGAAGTCAAATTGAGGGCGACACCGCCGGCACCAATGGTTGTCAAAAGAACTTTGATATTGTCATTGTTGGCAAATTCCTCGAGAGCCTTTGTGCGTGCTGCAAGAGTCATAGTACCATCAAGTCGGGTAAACCCGTCAAGCCCGTTGTTTTGCAAGGCAATCTCAATGAGATCCAGGTGGGAGGTCCATCCGGAAAACACAACACTCTTGATAGGCGACTCGCCTTCAAGCTTCTTGCTGTCTTCAACACTTTGCTTGAGATAGTTGACCAATGCAGTGGTTTTGGTGTGCGGTCCTTCGTATTCACCCAAATTCTTGCCCAGCTTCCGGGTTTGCCGCTCACTTTCCTTTTGGGTCTCGTATTCTTCAAAGCCAGCAGGCGTGATGGTCGAGTATTTCAAGTTGATCCAGCCTTCGCACCTCGGGCAACGCGTCTCAGTCTCGGGATGCGAATCGTAGGTTTGTTTCCAGCCAGAGAAGCAACCGGGGCAGAAGATATCGAAACATGGTAGGACAATAGCCATCGGAGCGTCACGGTCGACAGCTCCCATTGGACTCAAAGGTTCATCGAGTTCTCGATTACAATTGCCACATCGGGGGACTGAAGCTTGCTGCATTAGGGCGAACATCTCATATGCCTTCTTGTCTATGGCTGCCGGGCTGTCCTCCGGTTTGTTCTCCTCCAAGTCAATTGCATCGTTAACAGATAATCCCTTGACTCTCTCCCGGTCTGCAATGTCAAGAAGCTCTTTCCCGTGTGCACTGACTTGGCGGAGAATCATCATGGCCTTCAAGACATGGTGATACATCCGGCCACCTATCTTGCGTTTGTCCTGACCAGCAATTACACTCATCATCACATTTGATTCCGCGCGGAAGAACTCATGCAATTGCTGTTCTTGCTCACTGAAATCTAGTGTGATGACATTGTCTTCCCTGGGTGGTAGATTGATTTTGTCCTTGACTCTGCGCAAGGTGAATGAATCTACCAGAACTCGCAGCCTCGCAAGTACATTGGGATCACCATTTTTGACCGGGTTGGATACATGTTGGGAAAATTGGCTTCGTTGGTCGTAAGGAGCAATCCGTAAAAACTTGGTCACGGACAGGAGATCTTCCATGCGGTTTTGGATTGGGGTTCCGGTAACCGACCACCGACGCTCAGAGTGGAGCCCAAGGATCGCCTTGGTCTGCGCTGCATTTTGTTCTCTGATGATATGAGCTTCGTCAAGAACGATTCGGAACATGTTCATTTTTGTCAAAGGACTGAGTTTTCCACTTTTGGCACCACGCCCCGAGATCTCGCTGAGAATGGTACTGTATGTCGTGATAATAATATCAAATTCGGAAAGCGCCTTGAAATCAGTGATGCGCGATGGGCCGTGGAAGACATAGTAGCTGATAGAGTTTGGCTTCAGATGGTCTTTGATCTGTGTAACCCAGTTGCTCACTGCACTCAACGGGACAACTAATAGTGTTGTTCGTGTGTTGCGAATTCCCGGAGCTCGGCGAACAAGAACGGGATCAGGAGCCATATCGGTCCATTCTTGAGCTAACCCAAGCGATGAGGTGATCAACGAAAGAATACTCAGAGTCTTACCCAGGCCCATCATATCAGCCAACAACCCACCTAGGGCCTCCTCGGGCTTTTGCTCTGAAATCATACCAGTAATGATCTCGCGGTACTGGGTCCTCCCGTTGGGCGCAAGTTCCATTCGCCACAAGGAATTATTGTCTTCTTCTTTTCGGCCAAATTTGCGCGGCTTTTCTTTCTCTGTCATAAACCAAAGGGCTTGCTTTTGGTGATGGAGCATCGGTGTGGTGATGTGATCAGACGGCTCCATCGTCGGAATGTTCGCGTTGGCAAGCTGGTCGAACATCTTCATGACTGCATCATTAGCCTCTTCAGCAGTTCGCGCTTCATATCGGACGACTGGCCCTGGGCGTGACCGTGCGGAGTTGTTGGCGGCAGCGCTTGCGGCGGCAAGCTGGCGTCGGCTCTCTGCATGTGGGTTGAACACAGTAGTTCCTTTGTCCACAGAATTCGGAGGACCCAGCCAGATGTTGCGGTGAGAGAGGAAATTGCCGACAGCCTCTGCGTGCTTTCGTTGGCCGTAGATATTGAGGGTTGCACGCCACAGCCCTGAGGTAGGAGCCCAAATTTCTTCATTCGGCGAGGTTCTCCGGATATCCAATAAGGCTGTCACCTCGATAAAATCTGTTTCGGAGTCCAGGAGCGGACACAGCCCTTGTGCCGTTTTAGGATCAATTGTACCGAAAACTTTGCCGTGGGGGTCCGCGACGTCGATCTGAAAATTGCCTTTCACGGGCTGGCGTCGCAGGTCTAATTTGATAGACGGCCAAGCGTGCGACCAGTCGGTGAAAACAGAGGGTCCGGGTCTAGGGACTGTATGGGCCATGATCATTGCGTTTTCAATCTTGCCGAAGCAGACACGCTGGGCGCTGAGATCTGTTGAACCAGTGCATAGGACTTCGTCATCTTCCTTAGGTGTGTTCGCAAGGTCTAGAAAAATATTAGATTGGTTCAACACAATCCGCAGAAATAAAACAGCTCATACCCGCTGTCAAATCCACCACGTTGAGTGTAGTGGGAATTGGTGTTGGTTTCGCATCCTCCTCTTTCATCCACTTCCCAAGCCCGCTATTTCCAGAGATTGAGACCGGTCCGTTCGCCATGTTCGGTTTCTCATGCTCGGTTTTGACCTTCTTCGTCGGTTGGTTCTTCCGTTTTTCGACTCCATAGACATTTTCGATCAAATTGGGTCGATAGATCATGTCTTCGTCCTCACTCATCTCGCGGTGACTTCTTTTCGTGTCGCTTTCCATGTCCTCGTCATGGGTGGTGGTGAACTGCACTGTCAGATTGGAGTCTGGCTTCACAACCGGGGTCGAGATCGACGGCACACTTGGAGATGTGCGAATAGTGGATTGGTGAAAGCGTGTATCGGCTGCAGTGCCCGCGGTAGCCATGGGAGAGCCAGGAGATGAACCATTTCCCTGGTGTTTTCCTGTACATTCCAAAAGTAAGCCCTGGGAATCCGTGGGGTCGAGATGCATGGGGTCTGTCGGAGAAGAAGTGACAAGAGAAGATGAATTGTGGGAAGAAAGACTTGAAGGTGGATCAAGTGAATTGAGAGCACAAGGGGAAACAGAGTCGGTTGGCCAAAGAGACTTTGTATGCATAACCGAAGTATCCATCTGAGGAGCAGTAGGGAGACGAAATTCAGCCGAATGCATCATGTCCGCAGACATGGGTCGAGTGTCCATCTGGGTGTCAAGAAGGACTCTAGGCATGGCCGAAGTATCCATTGTGTTCACATGAGTAGGTGTAGAAACATGAGAAGAAGCATCAGGGAAAGCAGGATATGAAAGCGCAGAAGAATAAGTCACGGGCCTAGTGTTGTCCGAGGGAAACTCGCGGGATATAGCGACAGCATCCACGGGAGACAAATCACTCGCTGGGGAAGAAGCAAAGGGAGGATTACCATTGCTTTGAGCTTGTCTTTTGGCGCCCTTGGGATTCAAGAGCATCGCAGCATGAGATGCCATGATGTTTGTAATGGTAGTCGAAAAACCCGGGATAGGCTTTGGTCGGATTCAGGGTTGGGCGATGCTGTGAAAGCAAACTGATGAAAGTCAGTTGATGAGAGAGGCAACAAGGCTGGGTATTTGTTTCACTTGCCGTGGTTGGAAACAGAGGACCGAGTTCTGCCAGACTGGCAAGCTTTACGTCCAGGCTCAAATGTGAGAAGTATTCGCAGCGGTGTCGAGTGGTTTAGGATGAGAGATAGACCGTTGCGATTTGGGATTGATTAATTGCCTGACCTGTCGTAGGGTTTGCTTGTGAGGGGAGATCAATCAAGTTCAAGAGTCTTGAGCCTTGATATCATGTGTCAAATATTAACGTCGCAGCGCAGTGATTAAGCAAACGGTCTGGCCAACGAAAGGTGCGTCTTCCAGACGCGAGGGTCGCGAAATCTCCGGCGTCATTGAAAGTGAGAGATAAGGAAGAGAAACACGGGCAACACTAGTTGCGCTGTTGCCTCAATCACCAACGTATATTTCCCAGGGGAAATCACGTCGTTTTCCTGATCGCAATCGAGTCGGCGCCTTGTCGTTTGCCTCGTCGAAGGAATCGTGGGCGGCTCTTGTACCGGTCGAGGGGAGTGTCTTTGACCTCGAGTCGTTCTGGCCGTAGGTCTTTTGGTTCGCGCGACTTCTTTGCTCAAGTCAGTCGTAAGCTCGGTCGCGTTGTTAGGAACTCGAAATGACGAAGTCGGTCTTCCACTGAAGTCTGTGCCTCGGAGAAACCCGCCGATAAGATCTTATCAGTCCTCGCGCGCTTACCTGCGTGCTTCTTGGCGTTCATTTTCCGTTTTGGTGCTTAGCCCTTGCCGCTTTCTGCCACTGAGTCAAATTGAGCAGCCACCCTTCCTTCCAAGATTGGAACTTGTATACCTCTGATTTAAATGGACTGCTTTAACTTGCTAACTATGATATTTGAAGTCCATAAATTAGTTAATGCTCTACTACTGTATGTTTATGCGGTGCTGAACTAGTTAATCATCACCTGATCATCATGTAAGCTGGATGACTGCGCCTGAGCGCACCTGGCCTGGGCAGCCTAGCCCCATCCAAATGCAGTTTTTGAGCACAACTCTTGACCGTTGAAATAGTAGCTTCCACGTTGATGCCACCGGCGACATGAAAGCTACTGTAATTGCCAATTACCTAGAGGATCTCGGCCGCCATTGGCAAGAATGCCATTGTAATTGCTTGCCAGTTGGATCTCGAAGCCGGCTTCTCGATCTCAAAGACAAAAGGATATCCACGATTCTGCATGGCAGGCCGGTCAAATGCAACGAGTTAGCCATTGAGTCGAACATCTGGCCCAACAGGGACCAATCACGGACATGTTTGATGTCGAAGAGACCCACAAAGCCCTAAAAGATCAAGATCAACATGGAGATGACTGGAAATCTGTGGGGGATAGATTAGAGGATAAGATCTTCGACATGAGCGAGCCCACGAGACATGGTCATATACCTATTCACTTCGTTGACCCAGAGGTTTGGCTACTTGAAATCTTAGCCTATAACCGACTCGTGCACCCACAGAACTTCGATCTCGGCCTCGAGGTGGAAGATGTGCATCAGTTTCTAGCCTAATGTATGGCACGCCTAGGTCTAAGGGCTGGGTCACTACTTAATGCTACATGCACAAGTGGGAGTTGCTTGAAGACGTCAAGATTTTTGAATGTTGTTGCATAGATAGAATTTGCTTAGACCGTGGAATATTAGCCACTATGGGCCGATATCAAATGAAGGAGTTATTAGACCCTTTACGCACTAGTCAGACTCAGTAACTAGATCTAGGTCATTTGATTTCAGGCTGGGAAATGACCATTGAGGCAAAAGACGTCTACCGTAGTATTTAGGTAGCGTGTATCAATTATTTGTATCACTCGCCATAATTGTATTTGTAGCTGTAAACAGCTTCGTAAGAGCGTAAGATCACTGCGCCCATTCACGCTGAGGTTGACTCTCAATTCTGATGCGAAGGAGGGCAGGTCGGTTTTGACCTTGAACAAAACAATGAGCTGGACCAGGTCCGATGAGTAGGTCACACGGAAAATGTGGTGATCCACATCATCAGTAGTTTGTTTCAATGGAAATGCATGTGCCGATGTGACATTTGTAATTCCAGGAAGGTGCGATGGAGGGTGTCGCACTTTAGGAAGGCACGTGGGTTGGGCGTATAAAAGGGCCCCTTCCCCCCAAATCCTCTTCTCTTCTTCTTCTTCTTCTCTCCCCATCCCTCTGACCACCATCTCACCGTAGCCCCCACGAGACAGCGCAGGCAGAGGGACCCGTAGCACATGCTGCTTCACCTACCACAGGGACCATAATATTGCCATGTTTGTTATGAGGTCCATGCAGGTCTGCATCAAACATCAAACTGGGCTTTCTCGTGGACGTTCCTGAAGTCGTGGCTCTCATTACCACTTGACGAGTCCCACGGAATACATGAGGGGGGTAAATCTCCGTAGCCAAAGACGCGTAGCTTTGAGTTGTTTACCTAGGCTAGAGTAATAAGCTGTGCCTGTATATAAACTAGAGATCTCTAGGGAGATATTAATGCACTCATTCAGAGGTCTCGTCTTAAGACGGTGGATTCTTCTGAATCCAATATAGCAGTTTCAAGGGGTCCTCGCAGATGGTCCCAACACGACATGATACCTCCAAGGTCTCTGTATCACAGGACAAAATATATAACAGAACGAAGCATATGTCCTGAAAGATCGATGTGATAGAGTATGTGACGATCAACGTACTTGCCCTTCCTGATCCTCGACTGTTGCACCTGCCGTGCCCGTACTTTCCGTAACAGGAAGGAACGATGGGACGGAGTCGTTCCTTCCTGTTACGGAAAGTACGGGCACATAAAACCAAGTCGCGAGAATGCGTAGATAGTTTTCCTTTTCCTTCTCTCTCCTGTACTTAGAATCCTGGAGCAAATGCACTCTTTTCCTTCGGATTGAATTGGCACGTCACAGAGTAAGTCCACAAATCACTCACTGTTGCTTTGACTTATGTTGGCATTAGGGTTCCCTCATATCCAATATGGTGTAGTGACTAACATCGTCGTCTACCCCAGCCTAGCTACATACTGCAGTCACATGCCAGTACTAGCTAACCGGTTAACATAGTTGACTCAAAGATTAGACGATAAAGGTATCATGTAATTAGGTCTCATCAATATGCTACATGAGGCAGATCGCCCAATCAATGCGCCATAGCCTAAGGTAACCCCAACAGCCAAAGAATGTCTATATACAACACGGAAATCTCCCAAATCATGAGCATGTCCAGCAAAGGACTCGTGTGAAATGTCGCAGGAAAAAAAAGGCACGGTCGAATCATGAAGAGGAAGTGGGAACCATTTCCCGAAGGACGGGGACCTGACAAATACCCCGAGAAGACAACGTCGCAGAAGATAGCTGCACATTAAATGAAAAAGAGAAGTAATGTAGGAATGTGGAGAAGTGAAAAGTGAAGAGCGAAGAGCGAAAAGGGTAGTACGACATAATCTAACCTTAGCACCAGGTGAAAACAGGATTTTTGCTCTTGACGGCTTCCAGACGCTCGACAATCACCTTGCGCTGGTTGCCTTCCATGCCCTCTGCAACTGCATAGCCAAGGTCACCCTCGAGATCATCGCTGCCAAATGTGTTGACATGAGGAACGCGGAAAGGCACGGCACCGCCGTTCTTGCGATTCTTGTGCTGGCGGGAGTGTGAAGGCCATCCGTCTAGAGAACCTCTAGTGTTTCGGCCGCCGAAGTCATTTATAGTTGCAGGGCTACCAATAGAACCATCAGCACGTTCGCTGTCAGCGTCAGTTCGACCACGGGTAAGTTCGAACCGGTTTGGGTTGGGGAGGTCGCTTAGCGACGAATTCAACCCTAATAAATCGTGTTCAGGGATTGGTTGGGAAGATGCGGATGCACCAATATCCATCTCTTCTTCATCAGGGTCGTAATTCATATGTTGGTTCCTTTGCTTGTCCGCGGAAGGCGCGCGCATCGGGATAGCAACGGGGACGTCAACTAAGTCATCCCATACACAGACGCGGGTTCGTCGAGTCAGCTCAAGCGGGCCATGATCCGGTTGCTTCAGTGTTTCCACCACATTCCAGGCTTGACCTTTCATGACAGCAATTTGCCGAGCGAACATGCTCTCTTTGAAATCATCATCTTGCGAAAAGACACCACGCAAAGCCATCTGGGTACCGCTCCACCAGGCCGTGGATGTCAATAATGGAAGGAAATGGTCGCGGGTTCTCTGCGAGAAGGGCTGTCCAATCAAGGAAACAGGCAAGAAAAGCCAACCGAAGGGGAAACTGCGCCACTGCAAGTTGTTAGTGTTGGAAGTAACAATACCCGCGTATTCTAAAACTTACGGCATCTGGATGTTTCCATGGCCAGGAAAGACTGTTGTCAATGGCACCAAGCTGGACAGAAGCTGACTGTTCCGACGAGGCTAATGGGGTTCCCGTGCGACTGATGGCCATCATTGTTTCATGCCGCCTGTAGGGGTGGAAGGAGGGATTGGCAGTGCCATTCGAATTCACGGAAACAGGACGAGCTGGGGGCATAAGCTCGTCTTCATCGTGCTTAGGCTGCGGGCTAGTCTGTTTTGGGGGTTCTGCCACGATAGAAACCTGCTCTGTCCCCCAGTCAATTTTAACCATCCAGTTATCCAGACCTCGATCGGTATTTCGCATGATATAATCCAGAATCACAAGCTTCTCCAACTCTTCGCGGAAGGATTGCTTGAGATGCTCGGTCCAGTAGAACCGGCGCTCAGCACTTTCGTCACGCGAACCGTCGGGCGAGGGCACATAACCCGGGTCGTCATCCTCATCGTCGGACTGTGCCCCCGATGGACGACAGGCCTCGTTCCAGGGCCGCTTCTTGCGCTTCGGGGCATCCGAGGTGCGGAATCCAGTATTCACCTGGTCAGGCCAGGGATGTTCTCGGAGAAAAATGTTGGCATCCTTGAATCCCTTAAGGAAGACTTGGAAACTGCCAGCCTTGGGAGGCAAAACTTTCTTGCCTTTCCATGCCTTTCTCCGATCCCAGAAATCGTAGAAGAACGATCTCGAGGACAGTCGTACAATACCGGTGTAAGGGACGAGGTTCGTGCGCAGGCGGGCATCGAGGACGTATGCGGCAGCTTCGGAGACGTAGGAAAGATTGGGAATAAGACACGCGCGACCGAAAAAGCAGGGGAACAAGTTACGGTGGAGCCATTTTGTCCATTTAGGGTTTCGTGAGGCGTACGGCTCTTCGTCCTTTGGCTTGAACACACCCACTACTTTACCTTCGGGGTTTCGAGCAAAGTAGCTGCCCGAGCTTCCTTGCGAGATCATCCGAGGATGTATGTCCATTTCAATTGCAAGACGCACACTTTCAATTATCTCCTCGTACTCGGCGCGGGCCCGCCGTTGCTGACCCTCAAACTCATCCGATTCGAGAGCTTCGGCGGTCACGGGGATAACTCCGGGAGGTGCCTGGAAGACTGAATGGTAAATCTCCAGTTTCTCTTCCTCATAGCTCTTCCCTTTGACACGGTTGATCTTGAATTTGGAGGCAATCTCGTCCGCCCATTTTTCGAGCCGCGCATTGATGGCCTTGATATCCACTCCGGAGTTCCGACGGCCTTGAGTATAACCACTGTGTCTGCGTCGATGGGCTGGGGGAGTGTGGAGACCGGACGCCTGCATCTGGGCTCTAGAGGAGACGGGAGCGTATCGGGGAGCGGAGGTGGACGCTGTTGAGAAAGCACCGACATCCTCGTCTTCGGACTCATCGTGGAGGTAGCCTCTTTCCTCTTCGGCCTGGGCGAGCCGGGCGTATCCCGAAGTGGCAGGACGAGTCTTCGGCATTGTTATTGAGGGTGGTTGGATCTATGGAAGATGAAAACGGGGAAAATAACCCGTATGAAAAAGAGAGGAAGGCCGGCAAAAGAACGAAAGCACACCAAACAATGTTTAATCCATCACAGAGAACAGAAGAAGGAAAAGACCGCTGGTGGATAGAATAAAGAGTTGATAGAGTCAAGGCGGTTGAAATAAGTGGTCACCTATGCCCAAGGGGGCGTCCCGAAAACATTGTTACAATTAATTTACGCAGGCGGTGTCGTAATTAACGGCAGAACACGGTAAATTACGTGGGATGGGCAGGTCCACCTAGTTAATGACCGTTATACCATTACGCACCGCCACACTCGGTCTCCACCCCCTAATCGCAAGGGGTCTTGATGGATGGATGCATCGACTTATTCTGTGCTCTAAAGCCCTTGAAGCTTGGCTAGCACCGCAATTGATCTCCATATGGGACCCCTCTATGACGAATTGGGATATTCAGGGGACGTCAATTCAATACATACGATCAATGTTGGTAAATCTAAATCCGCCACGCTGGCAATATCCGCTCGTGCAGGAAATTATACGCATAAAACCCGTTGATCACCTGTAAGCGAACCAGATAATGCGGAATGGACTCATTTTTTGCGCTTCCAGATATCAAGAGGCTGGGTGGCGTAGAATGAAGAGCTGATTAATTGAATTGTATACATTCTTTGTGAGACAAAACATCAAACGTGACGCCCCTGACATGCCGTATCAAATAATAGTCGATACTGGGGCAATCGTTATCCCGATTGTTATTATCGCGTCTTATCGTCCATCTCAATTCTGCATCTTCTTCCCAACCCCTACCCTCAATCCTCGGCCATCATGTGGTTAATTTAAGACTTCGTTCTGTTCTTTGGTCTTATTTACTTCTTAAGGCACAAGAATTGTCGGGCCTAAGCCTCTCCCTCCTTTCCGGTATCGATCATTACTGCTCGGAACTTCATATCGAATTGATCACTGAAGGAATTGTCTTGATATAGACCCATTGACTTCGAGTCCTGTTCCGAGTCCGTTGTTCCCAATCGCATTCGCATCCCGTCGCACGATTCGTTCGACACCTACCCTTTCTCTTTCAATTCGGTTTGAGGCCGGATTTCAATCAACACCCACTTTCCCCCTCCACGGTGGCTTCCACCCTCTATCGGGCGTCGCCCATCGACCCGGCTATCAAATCCCGTTCTTCGCAGGAGCGTGAGTTCCCTTACGACTTGTCCGCCGACAATTCTTCGAGCCGTCACGCGTCCAACGGATCGACACAGTTTTCCACGACACTACCGGATATCAAGAGCGTGACCAAATTCGGCTCAGGCGAGAGCGACGGATACCCAGGCTCTTCTGTTAGCACCTCGCTTCCTGGACTTGCAGCACTGGCTTCGGTCGCTTCGGCACCAACCTCTAATCTTCGGTGCGTTGATACCCCATACCAGTCCCCAATGGAAGCCACCCGTGGACCTTTGGGCGATCTATCTTATTTTGCGTAATCTTCACTCGGGTACTGGAGAGCAGTAATCTGGCCCCTCATAAGAATTCGAATCAATTGGCTAATCCATATATTTCCCCTCTCATTTTTAGCTCATCCAGTGATACGAGTATGGGTATGGCGAATATGACCTACGCTACGTCGTCACCGGCGGCTACGACAGGAGGACAAGGGAGTGGACCTGTAAGTGTGAAATATGTGTTATCGGCGCGCTGGGTCTTATCTCTGAGGAGTTATCGAAAGTCTTGGCGCCACTCGATCCGTGCACCCGCTTTTTCCCTTTCCTTATCGACTCAAATCTCTACAATCTTATCATCCTCTTCCTCTTCCTCACTTCTATACCCTCATAATGGCGACCACATTGACTGACGACAAGCGACCTCAATTACAGCCTGTTTGCCAAAATTGCGGCACCTCTACCACGCCCCTGTGGCGTAGGGACGAACTCGGTTCAGTCCTCTGCAACGCATGTGGACTGTTCCTGAAACTGCATGGTCGACCTCGTCCGATAAGCTTGAAAACGGATGTGATTAAAAGTCGCAATCGCGTGAAGACCGGCCAGGGCCCTAAGCGCAAGGTGAGTTCGCGATCAAAAAAATTTTCTCCCCGTCCCCTACGCCCAATCCAATCCCACCTATCTTAGATAAGAACATGCGCTAATCAGAATTGTGATTCTATAGTCAGGCGGCCCTGTCGATACCAATGGCATTCCGCCGCGATCTGAGGCGGGAACTCCTCCTCCCCTCGGCTCGCATGGATACCGTCGTGCGTCGCGCAAGATGTCCTCGGGTCATTCGGATCGTTCCAACTCCCCCGTTTCCCGGACCGAGACACCTGGCTTTGGCTCGATGCACGCGCACAACTCGAATATCGCGCCGCAGCACATGTTCGACAGCGTCACCCTAGGCGATAGCATGAACTCCTCCAGCAGCCTCCCCTCCCGCCAGATGCGCCAGCCCTCTCCCTCGGCAGTCGACCGCCAACTCGATTCCCCCCACACCTATGAAAGTCTTCTGGCTCTCAACACATCCCTGAAGACACGCGTCAGTGAACTTGAGTTCGTGAATGAGCTCTTCCGCGGTCGCGTGACCGAACTCGAGCAGAGTGACGCCAGCGCGCGTCGGTCGGAGATGATTGTACGAGACTCCGAGGTTCGTCTGAGACGGTCTCTGGAGGATGCTCAGCGCCGCGAGGAGGATCTCAAGCGTCGTATTAGCGATCTCGAGCGCCAGCTCGGTTCTAGCGGCGCTGGTGACGCCGAGTCCGGCGAGCCGCTCGCAAAAAAGATTCGCCTGTCGGATGTTGTGGAATCTGGCGAGGATGTACTAGTCAAGTCTCCCAAGAGCGTTTAGATCTTGCGGCACCTTGCTATTTCCAGCCCTTTTCCACCTGCTTATTCTCCTCATCATCAGTCCACGGGTAGTACAAGCTTATAAGCTACATTACGTTTGCTGGTCTCATCCAACCTCTGATATTCTTGATACCCTTCATGGCTCCTTCGTCATCACTGGCTGGAACTTTACCCAAAAAAAGCTACTATTGAACGGTCTCGATTTTCCCTTACTTTTGTTATGTCCGGATGTTTCAACAAACATCTTGTTAATTTGCTTTCCTTGCGGTGCGCTGTACGAACTCTTCCACTATGCTTCTAATACGATACTTGGTCCCTATCCTTCTCTTTTTGCGGAACTCAAGCGTCTGGAAGATCGACGAATCGGTGATCCAACTGGGAGATGTCTCGTCGTCTGGGTTTCCCTCCATGTGCTAGTTGGCGCTTCCAATGATCATTGTTTCAGTTTGCTGCTTTAATAGAGCAATGCAATGCAACCGTTTTTGATTGTTAGGCCAGCTTGAGGTCTGAGCGCCGGGTTTTCTGTTTCTGATTAATTTGAGGCAACATTCTCGCTTTCTGCGCCGCGATATTCTATATGTATGTTAGGACGGGAATGAAAGTGTCATGCAGAATCTTTGCCTCGTAGTGGTCCTAAGAGCTGGGTTGAGTAGAACATGGACGAGCCTAATAACTACTTGGGGATGAACAACAGCGCATATTCTCCCAAATGTACAATAATGAAATTGGCCAAGTTCTGGCGTGTAAGGTATGACAACTCAAATAAAGACAGGCAAAGTATCAAGTTTATAGAGAAATGGTAGAAATGAGGACCCAAATAATATCCATGAAATGTACTCTATAAGAAGTCATAACAAACCGCAAACAGATCGAGATAGATATGCAAGCAAGAAAGCAATTCATAAGCACATGCCTGCCATGCAGGTACTATTGCGCCTAGATTATCCAACTCAGGCGAGTCGGTCCATCTTCTTATTCATGATGTTATTAATGTTCCTCTCCCGGATGATGGTCCACAGACAAACAGCGATACCAAATAAGCCGGAAACGAAAGTCATGAAATAGGCTGAGCGGTAGCAGCCCAATCCATCGGGACACTCGCGGTCGCCATCGTGGCCGACAACAGAGTGTGCGTCGTAGATATTACCGTACAACAAATTGAAGACATTACCACTAAACACTGGGGCGAGTGTCATGACGCCCCAATTCTGGGACAGGCCACCGATGCCGAAAGTGTGTGCGGTTAGGGAAGGGAAGACGCCAAACAAGAACCCGTAAGCGATTCCAGTGAAGGCGGAGACAACGACGAGGCTGTTTGGGTTGGAAATAGTGGTGCCGGCGAGCTGGGTCAGGGTGAAGACTACCGCTGACAAGAATAAACACCAGATGCGAGACATGCCGAGCTTCTTGACTAGCAGGTCAGAGCCGATGCCGCTGAACAGACGGCCGAGGAAATTGCCGAAGGAGAGAATTGAGACGTGCATGACCTGGCGGTGTTGGATGAACAGGTCTGTTGCGCTGTCGTCGTAGTACAGCCACAGGGCCTTCACGCTGTTGCCGATATTGTTGATGGTCATCAAGCCGATACCGGACAAGAGTGCCATGGTCAAGAAGAGCTGCCAGAATTCAACTTTGCGGAGCATGGCGAGACCTCTGATGTCAGTTTGGTGCGCCTCAATGGCTACTTCATCCAGGAAGTCATCGTCAAGTGTATCGAAAGAGGGACGCGGGCGGTCGTGCTTGGATACCAAGTTGGCAGTCTCATCGGCATGGCCGAATGCCCTGCCTTGGGAGTTCGATGCAACTGAGTGCGACCGCGCATGCACGGGGTATTGTTCGTGATCAAAAGCGGTAGAGCCATGTAGATCGGAGTCCTCTAGCACGGTATCAAGGTCGCTAGACTCGTGTCCGCCATGTGGGATGGATGAGTACGGCTCGCTGGGGAGGATTCGAAGGAATGGGATTGAGGCAAAGGACAGAATCGAGGTTCCGAGGGCTAGAAGCAGAAGGAAGCGGCCGGTATCGTCCTTGAAAATGAGAGTCGACAGGTTGGACCAGAATAGCGCGCTCAGTCCGAAGGCGGCCATCGGGAAAGCGGTTGCCGTGCCGCGGTGGTCGGGGAAGTTCGATGCCGCTGGAATCATTAGGTTAGCTCTATTAAGCAAATTAATTGGTGTAACATACCTGTTTTGATGGCACCGCCAAAGGCAGAGCAACCGCCCATGCCAGTAAGGAAAGCGAAAAGGCATAGGAAGACAACCGGCATCGATCCTTGGCCATTGTCATATGCTACAGACATTAGAGCTGCTCAATTCCGACAAGGTAACCTCAAGACATACCCATATAGATTGGGAAGTAACCCAGGCCTAGGCCAACAGAGCCGATCAGGGCGACAAGTCGGGGACCGCGGGCATCTGTCAATAATCCCATTGGAATTCCCATAGCATACATCCCCAGGTTTCCCGCGACACCCTAGACACTGTTAAAACCCGTTTCCCGGCACCGGACATGGCATTACTCACAATAAAGTTGCTCTCGGTCGATGAGAGCTTCATCCGCTGCGCGAATTGCGGCGCCCACGCGGAGTATGCATACTAAGATGGGTTAACCTTAATGGTCCTGAATGGGGATAAGACCGGAGATATCACGCACGTTGGTTCCGCATGAGAGGGCGACCAGCGTCCCCGCAATGACAGAAATAATCCGGGCAGTTCGGTGTAGAGAGCCGGACATGATGTCGTTCCTCTACGGTTCGTTTTGGTTGATATCTTGTGCGATACAAGCGCTCTAGGCCCTAGGTAAACAGATGTGAGGCCCACACTGGGAGAAACATCCCCGGAATGAAGGACAAGAAGGGTGAAAAGAGCGAATGTAGTTATATAGGAGGAATTGAAGGAAGAAGGCCACTTGGGAGTTTTCAGGAGCTTACACTTAGGTAAGGACTTGGAGATGATCCCGGAGGCCGCGTGGTCGGAACAGCCGTCAAGCAAGTGCCAAGAAAAGGTTGCTCCACGTCAGATGCACAAATAGGAGAATAAACTGATTTCTATAAAGAATCTGAGGAGGGGTGAAAAGAGAAATAGAGATGTAGTAAGAGATGTACTATGTCATCTAAGTTCTACGTTGCATCCCGCGTTGATAACACAGCAATCCGTCAAATTCCCCGAAATTGCGCGAATCGGGACTCGTCATAGTTCGAGTGCACGGCCAAGTGCGTTTCTCCACGCGCGATAAGGATTTGTATTGGATGCCTTACAGCCTTATGTTGCCTGATTTCCAACGGTTTTATATCACCAGGAATATATATGTAGTCAAGTCCAATCAAGTCCGAGCAGAGAGAGCGGTTGATTTATTAATCCGTTGTTTCTTTGTCTAAATAGGTCCATTGTATGTACAACAATAAGGGATGTCCTCGATGTATACATTTCATGTTATACTATCTCATCGATACGGAGTACTCTGTAGTTACCGAACTTCCAAGGTTTGTTTGAAATAATCAATGTTCTCAACGAATGGAATCCCTTTCTTTTTATTCCAGGTCATCATTCCAACAATTGAGAACTAGCTCGAATGTCATACTTTTTGGATCCCTCTAGTGCAATGTTGATGATGATGCCGAGGGTCATGCTAGTTGCGGGGCGCTAATCCTAAAATAGCAGGCCAAAAGAGACTTGTCACGTGATGTATTTCGATTTGGATATATTACGTAACATTCATGACGAAGGCGGCTTCATACGATCTTCAATCATCACCTGCCTCTCTCCACACTCTTGTCGATTCTGGATCTACTTTCAGTTCCAAGGTTTTACATTCGAACTAAGACAGTGGGTTATATTATACACGCACTCCCAATATGGGTGCCCTCCTTTCCATCCCGCTGTTGGCCGTGCCGAGCGTTGGTTCTGTATGTTGTCGCCCAATCTCCAGTTCACCACGTTGCAGTTGCTAACTTGATTCTCTTCCTCAACAGATCCTGACAGTCACGGCATCATGCTGTGGAGCAGCGACATGTTCTGCAGTCTGCAGCGCCTGCGGAAAGTTTCAAAACAGGTACCATCTCAACTGCCTAGTGCGGAGGATCTCGGACTAACAAAGACAGTATGGCGACGAGAATCGCTTATGCCTTCATCCTTTTGATCAACTCTATACTCTCCTGGATTATGCTCACACCATGGGCCCTGAAGAAATTGCAACATCTGACACTGGATTATATGGAGATTCGATGCGACGGGAAGGAATGTCACGGCTGGGTCGCGGTCCATCGTATTAACTTTGCCCTCGGTCTCTTCCATTTACTCCTCGCCCTTTTGCTTCTCGGCGTTAAAAGCTCGAAAGATACTCGCGCCGCTCTCCAAAATGGATTTTGGGGTCCGAAGGTCATCCTCTGGCTGGCCTTTATCGTCATGTCTTTCTTTATCCCCGAACCCTTCTTCTTCGTCTATGGCAACTACATCGCCTTCTTCTGCGCCATGCTCTTCCTGCTTTTGGGTTTGATCCTTCTGGTGGACCTTGCGCACTCGTGGGCGGAGCTATGCCTGCAGAAGATCGAAGATAGCGACTCTCGTGTGTGGCGCGGTCTGCTTATTGGTTCGACCCTCGGCATGTACTTGGCGTCTTTGGTCATGACCATCCTGATGTATATCTTCTTCGCGAAAAGCGGTTGCTCTATGAACCAGGCTGCTATCACCGTATGTATCCCACACCATCAATCTTAGCGCCTAACTGACTCGTCACAGGTTAACCTGGTTGTGTTTTTGATCATATCTTTCGTTTCTGTGCAACCAGCAGTGCAAGAATCGAACTCTCGCGCAGGATTGGCTCAGGCTGCAATGGTCACTGTCTACTGCACCTACCTGACCATGTCTGCCGTTTCAATGGAACCGGATGACAAGAACTGCAACCCCCTCATCCGGTCCCGCGGAACTAGGACTGCCACTATCGTCCTCGGTGCGATTGTCACTATGCTGACTATCGCATACACCACCACACGCGCTGCTACCC